ACACTGCTGAGGGCAGCAGCGGGCGGGTCAGGAGAGGTCTGCCACGCCATGTGGTCACCTCCGGGGCAGGTGGGAATCGAACTCATGCTGAAGTAGCTTTAGCCCCTTGGTGTTGTGCTTTAACCCGCTGCGCCACCAGGGAGGGCCTGAAGTCTTTTTTAATGTTGGAGAGCTGTAGGGAGTCTGTGAGGAATTCAGAGTAAATCTGGTGTTTCACCATCCTAATATTTAAATGCTGTTGGAAATGGGAGTGGAGTCAAGGAAAGTTTCCCTTTTTTGGTTCATTTTGGCCATTATCAATCATTTATGCTTAAGACACCTATCCCTCAATTCTAACTTCAAACATCTGTGATTCACAGATCTTAGAAATGCTATTGAATAGATCCACCCTTAAAAGCCATTCTGAAAATGTGTGCCCTCCTGTGTACTTTCTGAGATTTATGCCTGTGAGAAAGGAAGTTCAAAGTGGTGGTTCCTCTTATTTTGGGTTAAGGAAGTATTAAGGAAAGAACCCAGTTTTAGTCGATAGATGTTGTGGGATTTTCTAATTTGTAAATTGCCTATAACCAAATGTTTTCCTAAAGACTATTAAGTGGTTCAAAGGGTTTCATAGAAGCCATGTGCAAAAGAGAATGCCTGTTAACCAGACTAAAAAAATAGAATTGACTCATAAGATAGAACACTTAATTCTATACAGAACCTTTTCTCAGAGGTGGCTTTCAATAAATATCTATTGAATGACTATATTAACCTAAGTTTGAAAAAGGATTCTGTCTACAAGGGCAAGACAGGAGAGGTCTGCCATGCCATATGGGTCACCTCCCTGGCTGGGGATTGAACTTGTGCTGCAGTGGCTTGGCAGGAGAGGGGATCAAGCTCATGCCACAGTGACTGGCCATAGCTTGGTAGTGCTGAAACTTTAACCCCTGTACCACCAGAGAGCCTGAGAAAATGTGTTTTTACAGTGGAGAAATGAGGAGCCACCCATCAAGATTAGGAGCACTTATCATGAGCTTCTGTTGATGGTCATAGCTTCCCATGGTGGGTTGGGGTGAGGTGAGATGAAGTGAGAGTCAGTTGTAGATTGAAGTATTCAAGTAATGTAACAACCCATTTGCTTGTGTGAACCTTAACTGAATTCTGAATCGGAAAAAATATCGCTGGAACAGATGATTTTGGGACATTTGGGCACATTGAATCTGGAGTGCAAATTAGCTAATTTGGGGTTATTAACTTTTCTTAGATGCAGTATGGTACTCTGCTTATGTGGGACACAGTCCTTCTTTTGAGATATGGGTATTCAAGTGAAGTGTTGTGACATCTGCATCTTTTACTTGGTTCAAGGGGAAAAGAAGGATAAGGGTGGGAGACCAAGCATAGAAATGTAGCAGATTAGGGCCCTCCCTGGTAGTGTATACAAGTTAAAGCACAGCACTGTGAAGCTAGCCTCAGCCACCTCAGCACTAGCTCGATCCCTAGCCTAGGAGCCAGGGAGGTGACCCACATGGCACAGCAGACCTCTCCTATCTTACCCAGCATCTTACCTATGCTCCCCTCAGCAGTATATATCAGTCAGTCTGCCTATTCTGCTCTCCAGTTTGTCTCTGGTGAATCCTCTCACCACCACCACACCCCTGGCCTGTACCTCAGTTCTGTATGCATAAATAAATAAATAAACTTATTTATTTAAAAAAAATAGCAGATTCGTTACAGTTGGT